ATGTCCTGTATCTCTAATCCTTTACACTTATGTGAAGATTCTTAAAGTGTGTTTTTCTGGTTCTAAACAGACCAGACAAAAAGCTGTCAGTACCTGCACTCCTCACCTTGCTTCTCTCTTGAACTTTTCTTTTGGTTGTTTCTTTGAAGTATTTCAGAGTAGGTTTAACATGAACAGTGTACCAAACATGTTGCGAATATTTTTATCATTATATTTCCTTACATGTCAGCCCCTTTTCAACCCTGTGATGTATGGACTGAATTTGTCCAAAATCCGTATCATATGTAAGAGTCTGAAATGTAGGATGTCCAACAGATTTTGTTAGCTTGAGCAGTAAATAATAATAATGTTCATCTCATTCTCATTACAAACATCTAAAAACATGCAAAGTCAATACAGATAAATATTGTAAGTTTGGTGCAGTCGTTTGAGTCATTTGCAAAGTGTTCAGTCTCACTTTCATAACTAACCCAAACCAGCTGGAAAAAACTAAACTCACGTCTCAATTTCTGAATACGTCATAAATAATTAATGCATGGATAATGTGTTTTTGTATTATTTTTTAGGGGGGTTAGGAAATTTGCTTTCCTTTGGTGATCACTTGTTTTGATACTGCCTGTGCTACTTTCATTCATAGTCGGGCATTTGTCGGCAAATAAGGATGAAGTATACAATTTGTCATTAACAAAGGTGTAAAGTAACAACTGCAACGTTCCAGTAATAGTTTTATCAGCTGCAGGCTGAACTAATCCATGCTTATTACATGATCACGGTACATTTACTGCAAATAAAATGATAAAACTGCAAATACATGATAAAAGCAATAAAACACGAGACTAAGATAAAATAAAATCCATTTTCAACCGCTTATCCTGCGTAGAGGGTCGCAGGGGGCTGAAGCCAATCCCAGCTGACATTGGGCGAAAGGCAGGGTACACCCTGGACAGGTCGCCAGTCCATCGCAGGGCCCCGATCAAAAATGAATAGAGAAATCAAAACTGGTACTTTAAGTGAGTATTTATTCTTGACAATAATAAATGCTTAAAGCTGCAGACAGTAAATTCACCATATTACATCAGTGATTTACAAAGAGCTTAACTTAAACAACACACAAAATGTGTATTCTGATGTGTGTAAACATTCTAATTTTAAATGTAGATAATATATTATAAATACACAGAACAAAATTATAAACGCAACACTTTAGTTTTTGCCCCCATTCATCATCAGTTGAACTCAAAGATCTAAGACTTTCTCTATGTGCACAAAAGGCCTGTTTCTCTCAAATATTGTTCACAAATCTGTCAAAATCTGTGTCAGTGAGCATTTCTCCTTTGCCGAGATAATCCATCCACCTCACAGATATGGCATATCAAGATCCTGATCAGACAGCATGGGTATTGCGCAGGTATGCTGGCAACAGTAAAAGGCCTCAGGCCGGCCACAAGCTCCCTTCTCAGGTTTGGCTTCAGGATGGTCCCAGTCTACCTAATCAATGCACGAGGTAGCTTGCTTTCAGAGTTTCCCTCCCTTCTCACAAATTGATCTAGAGCTGCTCTTGGTCTGACCCATGGGATCACTTTGTGTGACCCTACAAGGATCTATAGCCCCTTCGAACAGAGCTCCCAGGGTCACAGGGATGCTAAATACCCTATCACATTTGGGCCAACACACTACAGATCCAAGTTATAGAATGAATAGCTTTACCTACACAACACAACATCACACTAATAATCATCCTAAATATTATGATTCTTTAATTGAATTCATGTATTATGTATGTTTAGTGATGCAAGGACTGTTTAAGACTTTTTACAAATGAATTGGTTGACAGACGTTTCAAAGATTACACCATATGAGATTCCCGATCAGTATATCATGCTTTTATTGTGGTAGTTGAAAGAATACAAAAGAGAACTGTGTAAAGAGAATGTGAAATCATCAAAAGTTCACTGAATGCACACAGGTGACAGCAATGCACCCAAACAATGAAGACAACTGTAGGCCATATCTTTTATGATGACAATGTTATTTGGTAGACAAGAAACACTTGTTGAAAAGAACATTTTTATTGTCAGACCAATGTGTTGCTGGAATTTCAACCTCTTCATGACATCTTCCTTTGTCCATGCACATTAGAAGTCGGTGAGAAATCCCACGTCTGTTTGTACAGTGTTATAAATTAGGAAATCAAATCGTTTAGCACAGCGATTCCCAAAGTATGGTGCGCAACAGGAAAAATGTAATGGTGGTGTAGTAGTGTAATAACTACAACAATAATTTTTTGGTGGAATATTTCATGAAATAAATTGAAACTGAATTGAAAACTTTCCTTTGTAAATTAAAATTTAAAACATTATTATTAAAGGGGCTATATGTAAGTTTTTGACTTTAATAAATCAAAATTTCATTGCTTTATTGTCAATGGGCTCAAAACTCACTCAGAAATGAATCACACGCCTGTTTTCTTCGTTGCTTGCATCAGCCACTATTCTGCTTTTAATGTAAGGTCTCCAGGTGAAGTTTGACACAATCTCGTTATAATATTGAGCTGTGCTGAAATTGCTGAGAAATTGCTGAGCCTCCGGTGAAAGATTCACCGATAGTAAAGACAGTTACTGAAAGCAGCAGGCGAGCTAACGATGTAGCGTGTTGGCTAAATGCAGTATTACCTTTTCATGTAACAAGCATGGGTTAGTTAAACATCAAGCTGATAAAAATACTGCTGTAACATTTCAGTGGGAGTTTACCTGAGTTTCCACCATATTGTGTGAAGCTGGCTCCCTGCCTGTCTATAGCCGCTCTCACTTTGCCTTTTTTTTCGGGAGTACTGTGCAGTGTCTCGCTGCGCTGGATGAAAGGTACGATCTGCCTCTGAGATGGGAACGTTGAAGTAACAGAGCCTGACCATGTCTGAGTGAAAAGCCACATGCATGCTGGTGTTCCTGCCTTTATTGCAGGATTTCTGTATGATGGCGTATTATACTCGCTCATGAGTTCAAGCGAGCACGTATCTTCATTGTCGTCGTCATCAGAGGAAGGTGAGGAGGGGGGCAGCTCTTGGGCCGCCAGAGCAACACCGGCCAGAGCAACACACCAAGGAGGAGGTTGGTGAGCCCATCTTCCTTTCGAGGTGAGGACATGGGTGAAGGAGCATGAGCCAGTGGACGGCCTTACGGCGGCCAAGCTGGCTTTACAGTACCTCAACGCCAGGAGAGGAGGACCAGCTACTCGCTCCACCGGTGCAGCACATCGACCCACATTCCAGCCATCCCAGCCTAGGTCTGTAAAGAGAGAGAATAGCCAGGAGCTTCTGGGTAATTCCAGCACTGCCCCAAACCAATGAGCATCTGGTAAGGAACTTGCAAGTCAGACAGAGCCTTCCTGCAACCACTTCCGGTTATTGCCACTCCATTCCGCAGAATTGCCATGGACATTGTGGGCCCTCTGGTGAAAAGCAGCGGGAGTCATCAGTAGATTTTGGTTGTGTGTGACTATGCTACTCGTTTCCCTGAGGCCTTCCCCCTGCGCACCATTACTGCTCCCACTGTTCTGCGTGTGTTGGTACAACTGTTTTCCAGGGTGGGGATACCGGATGAGATTCTGACGGACCAGGGAACTAATTTCACCTCCAAGTTGATGCAGCTCTTCCATAAACAACTGGGCATCTCGGCAATCAGAGCCACACCGTACCATCCACAGATGGATGGTCTGGTTGAAAGGTTCAAACAGACACTGAAGAAGATGCTGAAGAAGTTTGTGGATGACACTGGCAAAGATTGGGACCGTTGGGTGCCGTTTCTGCTCTTTGCCTACTGTGAAGTCTCCCAGGCGTTTACAGGGTTCTCCCCATTTCAGCTACTATATGGCTGGGATGTGCAGGGACCATTGGATCTGCTCCGCAAGGGTTGGGAGGCCCCATCCACCACTTCAAGTGACAGAGGGGTGGTGCAGTTTGTGTTAGAGATGAGGGGTCGGCTAGCAAGATACCGGGAGGAGGCAGAGGTGTGTGCGGCCAAAAAGTCCTGTTGCGTCTCCCTTCTTCCAACAGCAAACTCCTGGCAAAATGGCAAGGGCCATACATCATCCTCCGCAAGATGGGTCCAGTCACTTATGAGGTCCATCACCCTGATAAGAAGAAACCCAAACAGACCTACCATGTTAACTTACTGAAAGAGTGGAAGGAATCCAAGCTCCAATCCCAGCTCCAGAGCAATCTCTGATGGTGAGGGAGGTGGACATGGAAGTGGAAGAGGAGGTTGGACTGGAACCTGTCACTGCAACTACCCCTCCCCTTCTCACTCATCTGGCAGCAGTGCACTGTCACTGGTAATGGAAAGGATCAAGAAGGCGTGGTTGACACTCAACCCCTCCAAATGTGAGTGGGCACGGCAGGAGACACGGTACCTGGGTTACCAGCTAGGGTGAGGAGAGGTGCGTCCACAAGTGGAAAAGGTGGAAGCTATCCAGAACAGCCCTCGTCCCCGCACCAAGAAGGAAGTACGGTCCTTCAGGCGATTTGTACCTCAGTTTGCAACTATTGCTGCACCCCTCACCGCCCTTACCATGAAGGTCCAGAGGAACCCAGTAACCTGGACAGATGACTGTGAAACCGCCTTCAGTACACTGAAAGTTTTGCCTGTGCTCTTCCCCTGTCCTCAAGAGTCCAGATTTCAACAGAAGATTTCTGCTACAGGTGGATGCATCCGCAGTCGGCCTTGGAACAGTTTTGGCCCAAAGAGACCCTGGCAATGAACACCCCATTCTGTACCTGAGCCAAAAACTGCACACACACATACGCACATACTCACTCACTCCCCGCTCCCTTCCAGCCTCAATTAAGCCGGTCACAAACCTCACTATTATGCATATTTCTTCTACTATTTAAGTAGCGCGATCAAGGGTGAACACTTGGTAGTTCTACTCTTCTTTAAACAAACATCAAACACTTGCTATGTATGTAAAATAAACTACATGACACTCAACATTAGAACTGTATGTTAAATTTTACCAAAGAAAAGACTTTTGCATATCATGCGGACCTTTTTTAAATTCAGTCCATATAGTAGAGGGTTAAAGAGCGGTTGACAAGTGAGAAAGTATAAAGATAAAATAACTCGCAACACTATGGGCACACTGCTCATATTAAACCTGCTCTGTAATACTTCAAAGAAACAACCAAAAGCAAAGTTGAGCAGAGAAGCAAGGTGAGGAGTGCAGGTACTGACAGCTTTTTGTCTGGTCTGTTTAGAACCACAAAAACAAACTTTAAGAATCCTCATGTAAGTGTAAAAGATTAATATTGTAAGAACAATTAATACAGTGAAAGTGTAAGCGAGTCCATACACATTATTGACTGTAGTGGAATAGCATGCCAATTTCACAATAGAGTAATTGTCACAGTATAATCTGTCTATAATGTTACTGCACAGCTGCAAAGAAGTGTTCAATGATATCATGACAACAACATGTAGAAGAGGGAATAACCACGTTACAGCAATAAGCATGGAAACCTTGTTAGATGTCATACGTGTGTTATATTGTAGAGGATAACAGATAGCTAGATATCTGTCATAAGACATGATGGCTAAGTTATAGAACTGTACATTAGCATATGTATACAAACAGAAAATCTGCAGGTAGCAAAAGGGAGCAGAAACAGTGTGAATGTCAGAGAGAATCTGAAGCAGAAGGAATGGAAACAACCCTGTACTACCACACAGCTCATTTACAAACAGGCTGCACAGAAAAAGGTACATAGGTTCATGTAAGCTTCTGTTCAGACAGATAACCACAATGAGCAGAAGATTGGCACAAAGAATTACAATATAAAAACACATAATAATCATGAAAAATAAGTATTTAAAAAGTCCTAAATCAAAATAGGCAGTAAAAGTGAAATATGAAACTCGTGTAGAGTTTGTCATCATCATCTGTTGGTTCACAACACAATTGAAGTTTGCACAAAATAAAAGACTTGCAACGTTACATTTTTAGTAGATTTGTAGAAATCAAACTAGTTCAAATGTCATATTTGGGCAAATTTTGAACTCAATACATTAACATACCTTATTCAGTCGAAACAGTAAAAAATAGTTTCTTACAAAAACGTGACAGATTCTTCAAAATTACCATTCCCTTATTTAAAGTCAATATAATGTTAAGATAGAAACTACAGAATGGATTTATCTGCTGTCTCCTCTCTAACTGAGATGAAAGTCTGCCTTTTCTTCTCTTAAACCTTTCAAGTCACGTGATTTGGGAGGAAAGGACATAGCTGATGTCTGGAAAAACACCCATCTCTCCCTCCGCCACACTCTTAGCATTAAAAACATTACATTCATTTTTAGCTGACGCTTTTATCCAAAGTGACTTACAAATGCTATATATGAGAGGTCGCACGCCTCTGGAGCAACTAGGGGTCAAGTGTCTTGCTCAGAGACACAATGGTGTCTCACAGTGGATTCTAACCCTGATTGCTCAGACCAAAGGCAAGTGTCTTATCCACTGCACCATCACCACCACCAAAAACACAAGTTTGTAAAAACAAAAATAAGAAAACATAGTGGTCAGTCAGTCAATGAATCCAACACATCCTTATACCTAAATGACAATATACGTAGATATTCGAGTTGCCCAAAACTAAAAACTTTGCTAAAAACTTAAACATGTGTCATAATGAGGAGTATAATAATTGACCTGTACATTCGTATTTCAGGTGAGGACAAGCTGATTAATCAGCATTTTCAGCATGCTGTGTCACGATCCTGTCCTGAGGTTGTCTGTGTTATATGATTTTGGCCTTGATTTCTCTGTTTCTGGGTTTTGGGTTCTTGATTCTGTGGTGTAGGTTTTGCATCTTCATTTTTTGTCGAGGTGGAGGAGGCTTTGTAGATCATTGGCAGACTTTCTGGGGAAGACCTGGTCTGATTCGGAGAGACGGCATCCATCCCACTTGGGAAGGAGCAGCTCTCATTTCTAGAAATCTGGCCAAGTTTATTAGTGGACCAAATCCATGACAACCCAGAGTTGAGACCAGGAGGCAGAGTCGCAGTCTAACACACTTCTCTGCCCTTCTAATTCAGCAGTTACTTAGTGAAAATCCTATAGTGACGGTGTCTGCCCCCCGACCATCGAAATTATTTAAATCAAAGGTAAACAGAAGAGGAGCTGTACATAAAAACCTCAACAATAGGAAAATTAAATGTGGACTCTTAAACATCAGATCTCTCTCTTCTAAAGGTGTACTAGTAAATGAACTAATATCAGATTATGATATTGATTTATTTGGTCTTACTGAAACCTGGCTGGGTGATGGAGAATATGATAGCCTAAATGAATCCACCCCTCCCAGTCATATTAATACTCACATTCCTCGAGGCACAGGCCGAGGAGGTGGAGTTGCAGCTATCTTCAACTCTAGCCTACTAATCAGCTCTAAACCTAAACTAAACTATAACTCATTTGAAAGTCTTGTTCTTGGTCTTTCACACCCAAATTGGAAATCACTGCAACCAATTCTTTTTGTTATAGTGTACCGAGCACCTGGCCCTTATTCTGAATTCTTATCTGAATTTGCAGAGTTTTTGACAACTTTAGTCCTTAAAACGGACAAAGTTATTATTGTAGGGGATTTTAATATTCACGTATAATAATAAATATTTCTATACAAGATGTCTCCCTGATAGTGCTGTAGCTAAATTTAAGGATGCGATTCCATCAGCTCTAAATTCATTATCAAGTCACAAAGTAACGGAGGACTCCTATGTAAATGCTCCACATTTGTATAGCGCCTTTCTAGTCTTTTTGACCACTCAAAGCGGGTGGTCAGCTTTTACACTACATCTGCATTCACCAGTCACACATTCATACACTGGCGGAACAGCCACCAGGGGCAATTTGGGGGCACTTCAACACGCAACCAGGGAGCCAGGGATTGAACCGCCAACCTTCCGATTAACGGCCAACCCGCTCTAACTCCTGAGCCACAGCCGCCCCTATGCTAATTTCAGTCCCTCCCAAATCGATCATCTTGTTGATAGTGCTGCAGGCTCGCTGCGAATGACACTCGACTCTGTAGCCCCTCTAAAAAAGAAAATACTAAAACAAAGACGGTTAGCTCCATAGTATAATACTGAAACTCGCAAATTATAGCAAATATCGCGGAAACTTGAGAGGAATTGGCGTTCCACCAAAGTGGAAAATTCTCGTTTAATTTGGCAAGATAGTCTTAAAACTTATAGGAAGGCCCTCCGTAATGCCAGAGCAGCGTACTACTCGTCATTAGTAGAGGAAAATAGGAACAACCCAAAGTTTCTTTTCAGCACTGTAGCCAGGCTGACAGAGAGTCACAGCTCTATTGAGCCAAGTATTCCCATAGCTCTCAGTAGTTACGACTTCATGAGCTTCTTTAATGATAAAATTCTAGCTATTAGAGACAAAATTCACAAAGACCTGCCCTCAGCTGGCACAGACTTTTCTCTAAACTCCTTAGAAACAGCCGTAGAACCAGATATATGTTTAGACTGTTTTGCTTCCCTCAATCTTTACCAACTAACTTCAATAATTTCTTCATCTAAATCAACCTGCCTCTTAGACCCCATCCCGACTAGGTTGCTTAAGGATGTTTTACCCTTAGTCAGCACTTCTATACTAGATATGATAAATCTATCCCCCCCCCCCCCTCCCTCTCTCTCCTTCACCCCAACCGGTGGAGGCAGATGGTCGCCCACCCTGAGTCATGGTTCTGCTCGAGGTTTCTGCCTCTTAAAAGGAAGTTTTTCCTTGCCTCTGTCTCCTAGTGCTGCTCTTGGTGGGAACTGTTGGGCTTCTGTAAATATCATCATAGAGTACGGTCTAGACCTGCTCTTTATGAAAAGTGCTGTGAGATAACTGTTGTTGATTTGGCGCTATATAAATAAAATTTAATTGAATTAACACCACAAAATAATGTACATCACCGGTATACAAAGAGCTTAACTTTTTTGTGTGCGTAAACATCTTCTGCAAAAAAATATTAAGAGATAGTATTTGACAATATAAAGAAGGGAGATTTAGTTGTTACTAGTGCTAATCCTTGTATTATGTGGAGGAGCAAGTCTGCCACAATCGAAAATGAATACAGAAATCAAAAAATGGTCAATAAATAAAAAATACATAAAATATATATGTAGGCATGGATTAAATTATACAATGAGACATAAATTGACATATCTTTTGATTTGCTTCTTTATTTATTCACCTTTCTATTAATTATCTTAATTATTTATTTTCCTTTAAGATTTTTAAAAAATTAATTTGTTCTTTTTAAGTGCATTTATCTGTACTGTTTTAGGTGGTTTAAAGGCACTGGTACTTGAAATGAGTATTTATTCTTGACAATAATAAATGCTTAAAGCTGCAGACAGTAACTTCACCATATTACATCAGTGATTTACAAAGAGCTTAACTTAAACAACACACAAAATGTGTATTTTGATGTGTGTAAACATTCTAATTTTAAATGTAGATAATAATATATTACATATACACTGAATAAAATTATAAACGTAACACTTTAGTTTTTGCCCCCAATCATCATGAGTTGAACTCAAAGATCTAAGACTAAGTTTGCCTTTGGTGTGGGAGACCTGGGTTCGATTCCCACTGTGAGACATCCACCATTGTGTCTAGTTGCTCCAGAGGCGTGCGACCTTTGACATGTACAGCAATTGTAAGTCACTTTGCGACAAGCGTCAGCTAAATGTAAAAAATGTAATGTACACAAAAGGCCTATTTCTCTCAAATATTGTTCACAAATCTGTCAATCTGTGTTAGTGAAGAAGGTGAAGAAGCACTTCACCTTTGCAGAGATAATCCATCCACCTCACAGGTGTGGCATATCAAGATGTTGATCAGACAGCATGGGGATTGCACAGGTGTGCCTTAGGCTGGCCACAATAAAATGCCTTAGGCTGTCCAGAATAAAAGCCCTTAAGCTTGATTTACACTCCTGCGTAGGGTCTTTGTGCGTAGCTATGCCGTAGGCTACTGCGATGACTTTTGCCGTCCGAGCAAGCTGACTTCTGGTTTAGCCCTCTGCTAACGTGAATGGGGGTAAAATTGTATACGTGGGGCTTGTTTAGCCTTTTCAAATGTTATCAACCGAGTGGATCACATTCTCATAGTGAAACGAATTTCACTCGGGTTTGGACGGTCAAATATATTGAGCCACCGTGTTAAAACCGCTGTTTTGGCCACTAGTAAAAGTTACTTCAAAGCACGGGCACTTGGAGGCATTGCAAGGCTACCCAGCCGACCAATCACAAGGCTTATGGTCTACGTTGACTCGACGTGTAGTTACATTTCTGAGGAGGTGCACATCAGGCTACGCTGTAGATGACGCCGTAGGGTAGGGGGCTACACAGAGGCTACGCTGTCGATTTAACGCAGAAGTATAAATTGCACTTTAGGCTGGCCACAATAAAAGACAGAGCGATGGTCGTTCAGTCTTGGCCTCGAGTATTCCTAATGAAAATAACGACTGTCGTTACAACAGCCAGGAACACTAACGAACCAGTGGCATCGACAATCCTGGCAAACGACCTCACCGAAGTTAAAATAGCTGGGTTTCCCTACCAGTCAGTCAGAACTGAAGAAGTCCTTTGGCTGAGGGACGAAACGTCTTCTAGTATCTTCAACAAAGTCCATCTGCCCCTGACTTTAACCTTCTTTGGATAACCAAGACCTGGATGACTGAGAATCCTCACAGACACAGTGTACATTGACACCAATGTGTCCCTGAGCAAAACACTTAACCCCTAGATGCTCCAGAGGCGTGCGACTTCTGACATGTACAGCAATTGTAAGTTGCAGTGTCAAAATTGAATAAATAAAAATAAATTTTTTATTAAGCTGTCTAACCAATATTTCAGCCTCTTAAAAGTTA